ACCCATAGACTTTACACGGGGACCCATAGACTTTCCACTGACACCCAGAGACTTTCCACTGAGACCCATAGACTTTACACAATGACCCATACACTTTACACTGAGACCCATAGACTTTCCACTGAGACCTATAGACTTTACACGGGGACCCATAGACTTTACATGGGGACCCATAGACTTTACACGGAGACCCATAGACTTTAAAACAGTGACCCATGGATTTGACACTGAGACTGATAGACTTTATATGGAGACTCATAGACTTTACACAGTGATCCATAGATTTTACACAGAGACCCAAAGACTTTAGACAGAGACCCAAAGACTTTAGACAGAGACCCAAAGACTTTAGACAGAGACCCATAGACTGTACATGGATAACTATAGACTTTACAGAGACCCATAGACTTTACACAGTGACCCATATATTTCACACATAGAGACCAAAAGATTCACATATACTCAATTGTGGTTAAACAGCGTTCTCAAGCCCAAGTGAGTTGATGGTCTCAGCCCGGTCACTAATGCGCACGCACACACAAAAACCAAACCCATCGCAATACATTTGGTTCTGTGAAGAATTTGCCTAAATTCCAGCTCTTGAGAACTCACTCGAAAAAAAATATATACGGATCTGACCATCGTGCAAGGACCACATGACTCTCATAGCGTTGCCCTCTACTGTGCGTGCACCACCAGACAGAAGGGGGACCTCGGAGGTAGAGGTCCGTGAGGTCCGCTTCCACGGGGGGGGGGGGGGCGATCTCCGACACCACAGAGGGTGGGTGGCAACTGGCTCCGCGAGTGAAATCTTCTGTCTCGCGATGCCGAGAACACTGATCGGGAGGAAACAATTGGGGGACAACGTTTGTGGGTCTCCTCGCGAGTCCGTGGGTCTCCTCGCGAGTCCGTGAGTCTCCTCGCGAGTCCGTGAGTCTGTGAGTACGTGGGTCTCCTCGCGAGTCCGTGGGTCTCCTCACGAGTCCGTGGGTCACCTCGCGAGTCCGTGAGTCTCCTCGCGAGTCCGTGAGTCTGTGAGTCCGTGGGTCTCCTCGCGAGTCCGTGAGTCTCCTCGCGAGTCCGTGGGTCTCCTCGCGAGTCCGTGGGTCTCCTCGCGAGTCCGTGGGTCTCCTCGCGAGTCCGTGGGTCTCCTCGCGAGTCCGTGAGTCTGTGAGTACGTGGGTCTCCTCGCGAGTCCGTGGGTCTCCTCACGAGTCCGTGGGTCACCTCGCGAGTCCGTGAGTCTCCTCGCGAGTCCGTGAGTCTGTGAGTCCGTGGGTCTCCTCGCGAGTCCGTGGGTCTCCTCGCGAGTCCGTGAGTCTGTGAGTCCGTGAGTCTCATCGCGAGTCCGTGAGTCTGTGAGTCCGTGGGTCACCTCGCGAGTCCGTGGGTCTGTGAGTCCGTGGGCTTCCTCGCGAGTCCGTGAGTCTCCTCGCGAGTCCGTGGGTCTGAGTCCGTGGGTCTCCTCGCGAGTACGTGGGTCTCCTCGCGAGCCCGTGAGTCTGTGAGTCTCCTCGCGAGTCCGTGGGTCTCCTCGCGAGTCCGTGGGTCTCCTCGTGAGTCCGTGAGTCTCCTCGCGAGTCCGTGGGTCTCCTCGCGAGTCCGTGGGTCTCCTCGCGAGTCCGTGGGTCTCCTCGCGAGTCCGTGAGTCTGAGTCCGTGGGTCACCTCGCGAGTCCGTGGGTCACCTCGCGAGTCCGTGGGTCTCCTCGCGAGTCCGTGAGTCTGTGAGTCCGTGAGTCTCCTCGCGAGTCCGTGGGTCTCCTCGCGAGTCGGTGGGTCTCCTCGCGAGTCCGTGGGTCTCCTCGCGAGTCCGTGGGTCTCCTCGCGAGTCCGTGAGTCTCCTCGCGAGTCCGTGAGTCTGTGAGTCCGTGGGACTCCTCGCGAGTCCGTGGGTCTCCTCGCGAGTCCGTGGGTCTCCTCATGAGTCCGTGGGTCTCCTCGCGAGTCCGTGAGTCTTCTCGCGAGTCCGTGAGTCTGTGAGTCCGTGGGTCTCTTCGCGAGTCCGTGGGTCTCCTCGCGAGTCCGTGGGTCTCCTCGCGAGTCCGTGGGTCTCCTCGTGAGTCCGTGAGTCTCCTCGCGAGTCCGTGAGTCTCCTCACGAGTCCGTGGGTCTCCTCTCGAGTCCGTGGGTCTCCTCGTGAGTCCGTGGGTCTCCTCGCGAGTCCGTGGGTCTCCTCGTGAGTCCGTGAGTCTCCTCACGAGTCCGTGGGTCTCCTCGCGAGTCCGTGAGTCTGTGAGTCCGTGAGTCTCCTCGCGAGTCCGTGGGACTCCTCGTGAGTCCGTGGGGCTCCTCGCGAGTCCGTGAGTCTCCTCGCGAGTCCGTGAGTGTCTTCGTGAGTCCGTGATCTCCTCGCGAGTCCGTGGGTCTCCTCGCGAGTTCGTGGGTCTCTGATCTCCGTTTTTTTTCCCCCCTCCACATTTAGAATCAACGTGCATTTCGATTATTTTGCTGCTATAAATTTCCACACGATAAGCCACTTTGCTGAGCAATCATTCGTGGCCATGCCGCTTCTGAAAAGCTAATAGCTAAGTGGGCTTTACCTGTTAAGGTAAAAACATGGTTTAGTTTTATTTGTACAGTAAAACCTTGGATTGCGAGTAACTTGGTCTGCGAGTGTTTTGCAACACGAGCAAATTTTTTTAATAAATATTAATTTGATAAACGAGCGAGGGTCTTGCAATACGAGTAGTACGTATAGACGCTTTGTCTGCCGAGCGTCACGTGATCACAACTGATTAACGAGCGAGGTCTTGCAATACGAGTAGCATATGTATACGCTTTGTCTGCCGAGCGTCACGTGATCACAATTGATATACGAGTGCTTTGATATACGAGTGCTTTGGATTACAGACACGTTTCCGGAACGAATTATGCTCCTCGCAATCCAAGGTTTTACTGGTGTAGATTTTTCAAGTGATTTTTTTTTACCCTTCCTATACTTTGCCGCTGATCGTGTTTTTTCGTATTGTTTTCACCCTGTGCCCCTACTGGACATCTGTGAAAAAAAGAGCTTCATAGCTCATCGGATTCCTCCTGCAGTCCAAATAAATATTCTGATTATGAATCTGAGCACCTCCGATTAGCACGGTTGGCTATGCACGGCGCACAAAAGAAGTTCAACATACATGCATACATGCCTATGTAATTCTACGCATGAGATACGGGTCTCCGTGTGAGTAAATGGTTCTCAGAGTCTACGGGTTTCTTATTAAATCGATGGGTCTCTGTGTGATTATATGGTTCTCTATGAGTCTATGGGGTCACTTATTAAATCCATGGGTCTATGTGTGATTATATGGTTCTCTATGAGCCTATGGGGTCACTTATTAAATCCATGGGTCTCTGTGTGATTAGATGGTTTTCGCTTAATATATGGGTCTCTTATCAAGTTCATGGGTCTCTGTGTGCGAGATATGGCTGTTCGTGTGATTATACGGTTCTCAAGGGGTGTCTTCGTCTCTAGGAAGATACATGGCTGTGTACGCGAGTTCACGAGCCTCTAAAGTCGCGTCAAGAGCCTTTTATCTCCGCGTGTGTGTCACACCTTTTATATACTTTGGTGAGCGGCTCGTTGCAATAAACCCCGCAACGGTTAAACCGTTTGAGCAGGAATCCAGATCTAGTGATGAAGCGAATTTGTCATGTTACGGACCAGGCTGAGAGCATGAACTTCACTATGCTTTAGTAAGAACTTTAATCACAGGCATGCGCCTGGGTTCCAGCACGTGTTGAGGACTCTGTATACCACCGTTTCGACTCATCCATATTGTGTTCAACTACCATAGAGCTGGCCACAAACCACCCACTCACCCAGCCAGCCAGACACTCACCCAGCCAGCCACTCACCCACTCACCCACCCAGCCAGCCAGCCACTCACCCACTCACCCACCCAGCCACTCACCCACTCACCCACCCAGCCAGCCAGCCACTCACCCACCCACTCACCCACCCAGCCAGCCACTCACCCACTCACCCACCCAGCCAGCCACTCACCCACTCACCCAGCCAGCCAGCCACTCACCCACTCACCCAGCCACTCACCCACCCACCCAGCCACTCACCCACTTCACCCACCCACCCAGCCACTCACCCACTTCACCCACCCACCCAGCCACTCACCCACCCAGCCACTCTCCCACCCACCCTGCGCCAGCCACTCTTCCATCCACCCACCCACTCACCCACCCAGCCAGCCACCCACTCACTCACCCACCCATCCAGTCACTCTCCCACCCACCTACCCAGCCACTCTTCCATCCACCCACTCATCCACCCACCTTGCAACCCACCCAGCACCTGTGAAGGCCGAAACGGCACACCAGGGGTTGGGTGGCCAAGCACCACGCCCGACCGCCTTTGTCTCCCCAGTGGCGATATTTACTTACACACCGCTACACCAGGTATCAATTTGAGGCCGAGTCGACCTAGGGGAGGCCCAGGACCGGTTCAGATAATCGTCACTGGGTGTTGGTAGCCGTGAGCGGGAATCGAACTCGGGTAGCCGGGTTCGTAGCGCAGCGTAGCGCTAACCGCTGCACCACCGCTCTCCATCGCACGCAAACAACAACAGCCGCCATTCGTCACTAAGTGGTGACCACGGCGCTGGTGCCAGGCTAGGTGCACTTCGAGTAACACACGCTCACTAACATCAATAACAACTAAGTTCAATCCTTTCTTTTTGGACCGACTTCACCTCAAATTAACAACGACAACGGCGATTAAAGTGACCATTAATCAAAACGGCCTCATTTAAAAAAAAAATTAACAAATCAACATTGGAGTCGGCACAGTCGTGAAACCGCAACCCTCATAACGGCCAAAGCTCCACTCACCCCGCGGGCCCACAACATAACTCGCAAACGTCGTGGAATCATTTAAAATCCCATTCATTACGCGTTTAATTCATCATATTGCTAGAGGGGTGGTTGCGAATTCGCGTCGAAGTTAACGAAATTAAACACTGGGGTGTTAGTACATGAAGCAGGCGAACAACTCACTTTTTTCCAGGGCGACGCCGGCCACCTCAATGGGGCGCTCTGCAAGACTGCCAAGCTGATCAATCGCCGCCCACTCCACGTTCCTCTGTCCCGACTCCCATTGCCTGTACCACCACCACTTTACCACAGCCGCTCCAATAACCTAGCGCTGATAGGCCCCGGCGCCGCTGGCGATTGGCTGATGCGGCAGTCACGTGGCGCGGCGACCCACGCGCGGTGACGTCAAAGCCTCGGCTGGGAGATGTTAACTACCTCGCCCGGTACACAGGAGGTCGTGGGTTCGATCTCGACCCTGACGCCTGCTGCTGCTGCTGTATATGTGGAGTTTGCGTGTCTCTCTCATCATCATCACGGTGGCTATGAGATGTTAACAACCTCGCCCGGTGCACAGGAGGTCGTGGGTTAGATCCCGACCCTGACGCCTGCTGCTGTATATTTGAAGTTTGCGTGTCTCTCTCTCTCATCATCATCACGGTGGCTAGGAGATGTTAACTACCTCGCCTGGTACACAGGAGGTCGTGGGTTCGATCTCGACCCTGACGCCTGCTGCTGCTGTATATTTGGAGTTTGCGTGTCTCTCTCTCAACATCATCATCATCACGGTGGCCAGGAGATGTTGACTACCTCGCCTGGTGTGCAGGAGGTCGTGGGTTCGATCCGGACCTGATGCCTGCTGCTGTATATTTGGAGTTTACGTGTCTCTCTCATCATCATCACGGTGGCTAGGAGATGTTAACTACCTCGCCTGGTGTACAGGAGGTCGTGGGTTCGATCTCGACCCTGATGCCTGCTGCTGTATATTTGGAGTTTGCGTGTCTCTCTCTCTCTCATCATCATCACGGTGGCTAGGAGATGTTAACTACCTCGCTTGGTATACAGGAGGTCGTGGGTTCGATCTCGACCCTGATGCCTGCTGCTGCTGTATATTTGGAGTTTGCGTGTCTCTCTCTCATCATCATCATCATCACGGTGGCTAGGAGATGTTAACTACCTCGCTCGGTACACAGGAGGTCGTGGGTTCGATCCGGACCTGATGCCTGCTGCTGTATATTTGGAGTCTACGTCTCTCTCTCTCTCATCATCATCACGGCGGCTATGAGATGTTAACTACCTCGCCTGGTGTTCAGGAGGTCGTGGGTTCGATCCCAACCCTGTATATGAAGTGCGTCTCTCTCTCTCCCCGTGGTCGTGTGGATTTTTTTCTCCGGCTCCTCCGGTTTTTCCCTCCACATTTAGCGTCAACATCACTGCGTTTAGAGTGTTTGGCTACTGTTATACATTTTACACACGATGATGACGACGACGACGATGACAAACCCACTTCGTTGCTGAAAAAGAGCTATATAGCGGACCTCAATAGGTCTGACCTGGTAAAATAAAAAAAATATAAAACAAATTTACGCGTTTAAATTTTGATTTAAAGCTTTCGTGACTGCAGTAATTCATATTCTTAGTTCTTTCGGTAAAGTCACGTTGAAGGGAAACAACAACATAATAAAATATATATAAAACAATAAAAATTCTCACGACGTTTCGACCATAACACAAACCGACAAACCTGAAGACGACCGTTTGTGTTATGGTCGAAACGTCGTGAGAATTTTTATTGTTTTATATATTTTTTTATTATTTAATTGTTTCCCTTCAACGTGACTTTACCGAAATAATGGTTAGCTTTGTGCTAACCATTACGCCACGGCCCCCCTGCGTTACCATTAATCACCAAATATTCTAACTGTGTATATTACGAGACGAACCCCGAGCTAATTGAGCGTCAGATTTCACCGGTCTGGAGTTAATTTTGAAACGGGGCATTTTGATCCATTGCCAAGTGAAGAGAAAAGTCATCCGAGCGCCAATGGCCGAGGCCTTTGTGCGTATGCAGAACTTCTTTCGCACCGTACGTAGCCAACCGCGCTAATGTGGGAGGCCTTTGTAATGCAATTGCGGCCACTCTGGACGCAGCGAGGGGCTAAGGGGCCGTCCGTAAATGACGTCACGCGGTTTTGGACAAATTTTTGACCCACCCCCCACACCCCTTCGTCACACGGCGTCACAAAGAGTCAGACCCCCCCCCATCCCCCTCAAATATGACGTCACAAAGCTCTGACCCTCCACCCCCCCAAAAAAAAAACATATTTCCATTTTAAAAATAAAACATGCTTCAAATCGCTTTAAACGATTTGTCATTGTAGTGTGTGTTTAATGTGGCGCTTGCACTCCGATGTTATGGGAGAATTTTTTTTTAAGTCTATTTAATTAAGCAGAACGTGTTGTCTATATTTATTTAAAGTTAGCGCGTTTCGATGTGACGTCACATTTCCCAAACCCCCCTCCCCCCCCCCCACTTCGTCACACATCGTCACAAATGTCTGACCCCCCCCTCCTCCCCCCACTAGATGCGTGACGTCATTTATGGAGGGCCCCCCATGGTGCATCGCGCGCAATTGAAACGCGGAGGCCCAAAGAGCCTTCCGATTGGCCCAACGCCGAGCGGAGTGGCGAGGTGCTGTGCCTGCCACCACTGCTCTATCGAGGAGACAATCCATTGAGTAGGAACGCAAAAATCTGTCAAAATTTGACCCCTCCCTTCCTATACGCACGAGTACTTTTTACACACACCCCTCCACCTATCCCCCCAAATCCTATAGAACTGCCGATATTTATGGGCCGTCCATAAATGACGTCACGCACCTGGGAGAGAGAGGGGGGGGTCAGACATTTGTGACCGTGTGACGAGTGGGGGGGGGGGGGGGGGCGTTTGAGAAATGTGACGTCACATGAAAAATGCGCAACTTTAAATAAATATAGAATTGTATCCTCGGTTCTTTCGGTAAAGTCACAGTAGAAGGGAAACAATTAAATAATAAAAATCTAAATATATCGTGAGAATTTTGTTTTATATTTTATTCTTTTATTGTTTCCCTTCTACGTGGTGGTGACTTTACCGAAAGAACCAAGAATGTGAATCCCTGCAGTCACGAAAGCTTTAAATCAAAATATAGAATTGTTATAACAACACTAATTGTTATAACACTCCTACAACATCAGAGTGCAGCGGCACATTAAATACGCACTACAATGACAATAGTTTAAAGCGATTTGAAGCATGTTTTATTTTTTAAATGGAATTTTTTTTGGGGGGGGGCAGAGCTTTGTGACGTAATATTTGAGGGGGGGGTCTGACTTTTTGTGACGCCGTGCGACGATGGGGGAGGGGGGTGGGTGAAGAATCGTCCAAAACCGCGTGACGTCATTTATGGACGGCCCCTTAATCCACGCAGAAACGATCAAGGATTAATAATATTAACGTGTTTAAGCAAACAGATAGTCCACCGCCGGCTGCATTAACTAATTAAGCTGCGTAGCTTGGCCACTTATTTTGCTGAGCTGCGTGATAGCTCGAGGTCAGGGGCACGATATGGCACCTCTCCCACAGTCCTAACTTCTGAGAAGAGGTCAACAGTTGTGTTGAGATGTTCAAACACCAAACTGAAACCTTTTACAGGGAATCACGTCTGCATTAACCACAATACTTGTGGTCAGAATGCAAACAAAAACACACACTCTGATAATATTATGCGGCATTGTCCTTGAAATAGATTGGTCCACACCAGAGACGGTTTTCTTTTGAGCCTCGTCTCAAAACGGTGTTAGACCATTTGGCGTCCTCTGGTCGAACACCGTTTGAGACGATGCTCAAGAGAAAGCCGTCTCTGGTGTGGACCAATCAGTTTCAAGGACAATGTCACGTATATTATCAGAGTGTGTGTCTTTGTTTGCATTCCGATCAGAGGTATTGTGGCTAATGCAGACGTGATTACATTATTCCTTGTAAAAGGTTTCAGTTTGATGTTTTAACATCTCCACACAACTGTTTTGTTGTCAGATAAAAGGGGAAAACCTCTTCCCGACAGTTCTTGTTGTCTTGACAGCTGACGACACTGAACTGTGGCTCATCTGAACGCCAATGTAGACAAATTATTATCGAGGCTTCACCCCCCCCCCCTCCCCGTTTCCTATGCGTACATTGTCAGTGAGACCCCCCCCATATGCAAGCGAACGCACTTGGGTTAACCCCCCTCCATGCGTACGGACTCAATGGATAGCCCCCGATCGTGAACTCTGTAAGCCTCTATGCCACTCTATGAGTCTCTCTTGTCACCGAGTCTCTGCGTCACCCTACGAGTCTCTGTGTCACCCTACGAGTCTCTGTCACTCTACGAGTCTCTGCGTCACCCTACGAGTCTCTGCGTCACCCTACGAGTCTCTGCGTCACCCTACGAGTCTGTGTCACCCTACGAGTCTCTGTGTCACCCTACGAGTCTCTGTGTCACCCTACGAGTCTCTGCGTCACCCTACGAGTCTCTGCGTCACCCTACGAGTCTCTGCGTCACCCTACGAGTCTCTGTCACACTACGAGTCTCTGTGTCACCCTACGAGTCTCTGTGTCACCCTACGAGTCTCTGCGTCACCCTACGAGTCTCTGCGTCACCCTACGAGTCTCTGTGTCACCCTACGAGTCTCTGTGTCACCCTACGAGTCTCTGCGTCACCCTGCGAGTCTCTGTCACTCTACGAGTCTGCGTCACCCTACGAGTCTCTGTGTCACCCTACGAGTCTGTGTCACCCTACGAGTCTCTGTCACACTACGAGTCTCTGTGTCACCCTACGAGTCTCTATGTCACCCTACGAGTCTCTGTGTCACCCTACGAGTCTCTATGTCACCCTACGAGTCTCTATGTAACTCTGAGTCTCTACAAAGGCGTTAAAGATCCAAAATAAGTAAGATAAAGCGACCGCGCATCAACTCGGCAAACGCGTTGACCTCACACCACGCGCCAAAGTGAACAATTGAAACGTTATTTTATTGCAGCTCTCTAAAGCTTATTTTTTTCTTTAAAGCAACACACGATTACATTATCGCAAATAAATGAATGCCCTTATCGTCATTTTTTTTCTCGAGTACAATACTGCAATTAGCTTCGCAAAGCGCGGGCCTCACGCATCATGTCATTTAAAATCGTTTAAATATATTTTAAAATTTTACATTAACCCTAAGGTGTGTGTGTGTGTATAGGGTGGCCCAAAAGTCAGGACGCATAGGGTTACTTAATTTCCATTAACACTGGCAGTAGAACATACGTATTATTTTAAGTATTAATGTTATCTGCGATCATAATTATAATACGTCTCTTCCTTCTGCCCTTTCAGACGACATTTACAAAAATTACATCGACCGAATATGAGGACGGGAAAAAAATAATTGATGAATGTCCGAAGATTACATTTCAAACAATAAATCTTAATTAATTTCCCCGGATAATTAATTCAAAATTAACGAAAGTCAGCTCAGTCACATTTGGCCCATTAATTTCCACGACCTCCGTGTGACTTGATAAAAATAAACTACAGTGACCCTACATGTCCTGACCTTTGGGCCATCCGGTATAGGTGTGGACGTAAATGCAAACCTGTCAACCCCTTATCAGTGCCCTGCATTATTAGAGACCAATTCAGACCGTAATGGTCACCCCGTGCCCCTTATAAATCTCAGCTCATCCTACAAAGTCCCATCACAAGGGAGAAACACAAAAAAACACATTTGTATTTATTTTGCCCGTATTGAAACGGCTGTACGCCGTCTGAACCTGAAAATTTTCCTGCACAAGAATACGGGGCAAACCGTATGGGTTGACAGGTATGGAAATCAAGATTTGAATCTTTCGTGACTGCAGGAATCCATATGGTTCTTTCGGTAAAGTCACGTAGGTGGGAAAACCACAGCAGCAAAAAAATTATTGCTGATGATGATTGCTTGTGTTGCAAACGAAACGTCGTGATTTATTTTATTTTATACCTACGTGACTTTACCGAAAGAACCTAAGAGTATGTATGTAAATGGAATATCGTGGTAAGCTTTGACACTGTTTCCGAAAGCGTTAGGTTGTTGTCGCGCGTTTTGTCCCAAGAGCCTCGGTCGGTTTGGGTCAACTCCACATTCCCATGACGGAGTGAGGGTGAGGGGGGGGGGTTCCACATCCTCAGCCAGGCTGCACAACACCTGAGCCCATCGGCTGCGCACCTTGGTTGCATGCAACGGATTCTCCCTTTCGTGTGGACGTTTCTGTAACCGATCACTTGTAGCAGAGACGGACGTATACTGTGTGCGGGTGTATGTGTGCAGGTGTGTGTGCTGATGTATGTGTGTGTGTGTGCGGATCGAGGGGGATAAACGGGCGCGGCACGGGCTAGAGAAGAGTTGGAGTGATGTGGTACAGGAGGACGTGGAGCTGAGTGGACTTGCCGATGACTGGTACCAGCGGTGTCAAGATCGGCCTCTTTGGAGGAGGCTCGTGAAGGACGCTATTGGGCAGTTGGAGGCAGTCGCCCTCCAACAACAGCGGAGGGTGGAAGAGCGACGCTCACAACAACAAGCGGAGCACCGGGTGGCTAAAGCACAGAAAGTTGGCACAGTAGGGGGCACAGGTGGTGCATCAGCCAGTCATCTCAGTCATCTCAGTCAGTCGACCCGTGGCACTTGGGTCTGCCCCGTGACCTCCTGCCAGCGGGCGTTCGACACTTCACGTGGCCTCAAGGTGCACATGGCCTGGCACAAGCGTCGTGGTGACGTCACCCGCCACTTAGTGGCGATTGGCGGTTGTTGTATACAGCGGTGTAAGCAGTTAGCGCGCTGCGCTACGAATCCGGCAACCCGGGTTCCATTCCCGCTCACGGCCACCACCAGTGACGATTATGTGAACGGGTCCTGAGTCTCCCCCTAGGTCGACTCGGCCTCAAACCTAGTGCGGTGTGTAGTAAACATCGCTATGGGAAACAAAATAAACCGCTGCGAGTGACCACGTGGTATGTCCGAATGCTCACTGCTGAGGAGTGGCTGCCCCTCCCACTCTGTCGGGAGCTGGACCGGTTACTGCCCGAATCCCTGTGGTATTTCGGAGGTCCGGTGGACTGGTTGAGGCTCCGGTCATGATGAGGGGTGGGACAGTCCACTTCTCGGGGCAAGACACTGCCAAACAACAGAGAGTGGGCTCATCTTGTGATAAAAAATAATGATGGGGGGGCATGTGCGTGTGTGCGTGTGTGCGTCAGTCAACCTATGGCACCTGGGCCTGTCCCGTAACCTGCCGGCGGGCCCTCAACTCTTCACGTGGCCTCAAAGTGCACCCGGAATGACACAAGCACCGTGTTGACGTCACCGCCACTTAGTGGCTGTTGTGTACGTTTGTGCATGCACGCGCGTCATGTGTCTGTGTGCAGGGAGCCTCGGGGTAGGCGCTAACGTGCTGCACCACAAAGCCCGGCGACCCGAGTTCGATTCCCGCAAACGGCCAACACCGGTGACGATCACGTGAACCGGTCCCCGGGTCTCCCCCTAGGTCTACTCAGCCTCAAATGAGCGCCCGGTGCGTTGTGTAAGCATCGCCAATGGGGAGACAAAGGCGGCCGCCGGGCGTGGTTGCTGGCCACCCACCCCCCCTCGTGTGCCGCCGTGCCGGCACTTCGTAGGCGCTCGCCAACAGTGCCTGCTCCAAGCGTCTGCCAGGGCGACAACGGGGGATCTTTGCACGCGTGCAGTGACATGGCGGAGAGCCGGGGCCGGAATTGGCACACGGCTCGCGATGCATTGAAACACCGCTGCGAGTGCAGTACCAGCGCTAAGCGGCGCTCGGTGAGCACTGTCTAAGCAGCGAGGCGTGGCAGCGCGCTCGGGGGCGGAGTGCCAGCCCCTACAGGAGGCGGTCGTGGCTAGAGCCCGGAGCGGCACCGGCAGTGGCCGTCATCCTGAAGAGCCCTTCGGCGACGTTACACGTTCCGCAAGGGTCTCCAACGCGTGGGCCCGGGCCCGCGCGGAGGCCGGCCCGTGGTGGCTCCTCACAGAGTAATCAGCGTAGAGAGGCTGGTGGACCACCGCCATAGGTGATTATCTGGGGAAAAAGGGGGGCCATGAACCCTCTGCACGTTGCGTGTTCACGTCAATAAACGTGTCGCCTCCGGCAGTGCGTCCGAGTGTCCGTTTGAGCCCACTGCACACGCGCGCGCGTTGGTGCTCGTGCTGCGTACGTATGCCCGCGCAGGGCGCTTGCCTGCACAAACGCAGAGGCAGCGAGACGCGCGAGCGTTTGCGTGGACCGCGCGGAGCCGACGAGCAACACGGCCCCCCCCCCCCCTCCCCCCCCGCCGGCTGAAAGAGCGCGCCTCCCACGGACGAGCTCGCTCGCCCGTCGGCGGAGCGAAACGAACGGCGGCGGGCGCTCGCCTCCCGGTGACGAGGGAAGGTCGAGCGGCCGGCAGTCGGTGCAGCGCAGCAAGTGGGAGACGAGGAGAGGGCGGCGACGAGGGACGACGGGAGGAGAGAAGCGAATGGATGGAGAGAACCGGGAGAGAGAACGGAGCGGGAAAGGGGGAGGAGGAGAAGAGGACCGGGGGAAGCCTCGGGCCGCTTGTCACGGTGGAAGTTATCGTCTTCGCTGCGGGAGACAATAAAATCTTTCCCGCGCAACCGATGTGTTGGAGTCGTTGCATATGTACGCGTGCGTGTGTGTGTCTGCATTTGTGTCTGTCTGCATTCGTGTGTGTGTGTGTGCGTGCGCGAGTGGTGGGGACTATGATCGCGAGGTGGAGGCGGCCATGGCGAGGATGTTCCGTGCCTGGCGGAGCAGCGGCATGTCGATCATGCTGCCCTGGAAGGTGAACGCACCCTGCACACACACACGCATGCACACACACACGCACACGCACGCACACGCACGCACACACACGCACACACACGCGCACACACACACAGACAAAGGTCACCCGGGTGGCCATCAAAAGGCCATCGTCGGGGCAAGTGCCGTTGGAAAGTAGCAGCACCGATGAAGGCCGGCACGGCACACGAGGGGGTGGGCTGGTCTGCCCATCGACACACCTTAAGACAAATATATATACACACATTTTCACATACAAAGACAAAGATCCCCCCGTATAGCCTTTAACAGACTGTTGGGGCAAGTGCTGTGGGTTGCCAGCACCACGCCCGGCCGCCTTTGTCTCCCCAAATGGTGATGTTTGACACACTGCATCCAGGCACTCTTTTTAAAGGTCGAGTCGACCTAGATGAGGGCCCAGGAACGGTTCCGATTTTGGCCATGAGCGGGAATCGAACTCAAGCCGCCAGGATCGTATCGCAGCGTACTGCCACTCCACCACAAAGATCCCCCGCGTAGCCTCAACAGACTGTCGGGGCAAGTGCTGTCAGCGAGCAGCAGCACCTACGAAGGCCGGGCACGGCACACGGAGGGGTGGTTGGCAACCACCGCGCCCGGCCGCCTTTGTCTCCCCAGTGGCGATGCCTGCACACCGCACCGGGTGCTCGTCTGAGGCCGCGTCGACCGAGGGGAGGCCCAGGACCGCTTCAGATAATCGTCACCGTGCGTCGGTGGCAAGTGAGCGAGAATCGCCGGGGTTCGTAGCGCTGACCACGCCACGCCGCCGGCCGGGCACACCGACGAGGTGCGGCCGCAGCGCCCGCGCCGGGCTAGGTGCGCGCACCTTGCCCTGCTGCTGGTGCTGAGAGAAGGCGTGCACCAGCTCCGATGCCCACTGCAGGCGCGCGGCGCTGGGAGAGAACTCGCGCTGGACCACAGACACCTGGCTCGGGTGGATCACCTGTTTACCTGCACAAGGACAAAGACCCCGCCCCCGTGTAGCCTGTAAGAGACTTGTCGGGGGCGAGTGCTGCTAGCGAGCAGCAGCGCCTGTGCAGGTCGGCACGCAACACGCGAGATGGTGAGCGGCCAACACCACGCCCGGCCGCCTTTGTCTTCATATCGGTGAGTAAGTGTGAGTAGGGGCGAGTAGGGGCGAGTAGGGGGTGGATGTAGGTGAGGACCCCCTTGATCTCCGTCTCGTACCCGTGGGACCCACAAGACCCGGTGGGAATCTCCGTTGGACCCCGTTAGCTCCCGTGAGACCCCATCAAGACCCCTGTGTTCCCCTATCTCACACCGGCGAAGCCCATTAGGCCTCTATTCGGAGCCCGTCAGAACCCCGTTAGGACCCCGTTAGGACCCCGTTAGGACCCCGTTAGACCACGTCTGGACCTCTGTGCCCCTCCCCCCCTCCCGTCTCGTACCGGTGAAGCCCATTAGGGCGCCGTCGCGCGCGTGCCGTGCCAGCCCCTCGGGGTCGCGGAAGTCGATGTGCACCATGTCGATGGACTGCAGGCCCAGCGCACGCGCCACCACTACCACGTGCTGGCGCGCGTACAGCAGCTCACGCGCGTCCGACGTGCGCGTCGCTCCTGCACGGGGGGATGGGCGAGGCATTGGGGATGAGACGGAGGAGACAGAGACGTGGGGGAGAGACGTGGAGGAGAGGGGAGACGCGGGGAGGAGAGGAGAGACATGGGGAGAGAGGAGAGACATGGGGAGAGAGGAGAGACATGGGGAGAGAGGGGAGACATGGGGAGAGCCGTGGGGGAGAGGGGAGACACGGGGAGGAGAGACATGGGGAGAGCCGTGGGGGAGAGGGGAGACACGGGGAGGAGAGGAGAGACGTGGAGGAAAGGGAAGACACAGAGGGGAGGAGAGACATGGGGAGAGAGGGCAGACACGGGGAGTAAAGTGGAGAAGCATGGAGGTGAACAGAGATACGGAGAGAGGGACGGGGAGATGAACGGCACGCACCGATGCTGGCACAGAAGTCGTCGGATCCGAAGACGATGCCGGCGAGAGTCAGTCCCACACGCTCCCCAACGGAGATCGCCGCACAGCAGATCTCCTGCAGCGGACACATGGCGAGACACGGGGAAGACACAGAGACATGAGTGAAGAAAAGGGGACACGGGGAGACACGCGGGAGATGTGGGGAGACGCGGGGAGACATAGGGGAAGACACGGGAGGAGACACGGAGACATGAGTAAAGCAAAGACACGAACATGATGGGACAGGGCAGCCAACAAGGGAGAAGTGTCCCCTTGCATCTCCTTTCATCTCTCTGGCAATGACAATGACGACGATGATGATGATGACAGTGACAATAAATGGTAGTGATGATAATTGTAATGACAGTGATTGTGACAGTGATGATGATGATCACTGTTGATGAAAGTGATGACAGCGACGATAACAGTGGTAACGATGATTAATGTGATGATGATTGTGATGACGACAGTGATGATGGCAGTAATGATGATGATCACTGTTGATGAAAGTGATTACAGCGACGATAACAGTCGTAACGATGATTAATGTGATGATGAATGTGATGACGACAGTGATGATGGCGATGATTAATGATGAAAGTGATGATGATGACAGTGATGATGGCGGTGATGATGATGATGCCAGTGATGATGATGGTGGTGGTGATGACGGTGATGATGGAGGTGGTGATGGTAATTGACGATGAAAGTGATGATGACGATAACGCCGGCGGTGATTACGTCGTTGATGACTATCACATCGACGTTGCTGATGATGGGCGGGGGCTGGTGAATGGGTGGGGGGGGGGGGGGGGAGCGGTGGCGCAGCGGTTAGCGCAACCGCACCGCGAGACCCGGCAGGAGACACTCCCGCTCACGGCCAACATCAGTGGCGAGCGACACCCGGACCCGGCGCTTGGGGCCTTCCCCCGTCCGCCGGGGGCAGAACGTCCGGTGCGGCGAGGTATGGCGACGATGCTCACCCTGAGGTCCAGCAGCCCCACGGCGCTCTCCACGAACGTGATGAGGTTTATCGGCGCTGGCAGCTCTCGTTCCGCCACTCCCTTCTCAAAGCGCTCGGCAAACTGGGGAGGGAGGTGGGGACAAGGGCGCCACTCCATGTTGCTATGGCAGAGTTAAGTAAAAAAAAAGAGAACCTATATATTTTTTTCACTTTTTTATTTTTTATTTAATCATGGCCCCAAGGACCCGGAAACGCCGAACGGCCGGTAACAAACGGCACTCTTAAAACTCGTCAAAGCGACTTGCTGCTCGTGCCAGAATGGAGGCACCCGCCCCCGTGCTCGCCCCTCCTGCTTACAGCCATCGTGTGGAGACACTCGTGGTGGGAATTCCACGTTCCTATGGTGGCAGCGAGTCTATCCAGTGTGGAAAAACAAACAAACAAACGAACGGTGTTCGATCTTCTCCGCATGGCGCTACTCATTCTATCGACCCCGGAAGCTGGGGTGATGATGACCTCGCATCTTAAAAAAAAAAAATGGTAATGCTACCGACTCACCCATCGGATGTCGTCCACCGAGTCCACCTTGGGCAGGAGGATGGTGGGGGGCAGCACCGGCCCCCCCAGCAAGGCGCGGAGGTCGTCCTCGGCGAGGCCGCTGGCGACGGCGTTGACGCGGACGCTGGGCTCGGTGCGGCCCAGGCTCAGCTCGCTGAGCATCCGCACCACCGTGTCACGCGCCACCTCCTACGCGCGGACACGATGGTGGTGGTGGTGATAGTGATGTTACCGATGGTGGTGGTGATGTTAATGATGGTCGTGGTGGTGATGTCAATGATAGTGGCGATGGTGGTGGTGGTGGTGATGCTGATGCTGTTGATGATGTTAACGATGATGGGGAGCGGTGGTGCAGCGGTTAGAGCGCTGCGTGATGAACCCCGTTACCCGAATTCGATTCCTGCTCATGGCCACCAACACCGGTAACGATTATTTAAACCAGTTCTGGGCCTCCCCTAAGTCGATTCAGCCTCAAATGAGTACCTGGTGCGATGTGTGAACATCGCCACTCGGGAGACAAAAGCGGCGGCCGGGCATGGTGCTGGCCACCCACCCCCTCGTGTGCCGTGCGAATCTTCATAGGTGCTCGCTACTCGCTAACAACACTTGCCCCAACGGTCTGTTAAGGCTATACAGGGGTCCTTTGTCTTTGGTGATGGTGGTGGTGTTGAAACAGTAGGGTGGCACAGGTGCATCTGTCATCTCAGTCCAGTCAACCCATGGCACCACCCAGGTCTGTCCCGTGAACCTCCTGCCAGCGGCGAGCCATCCGACACTTTCGAGCGACAGCGTCAAGGTGCACCTAGCCTGGCACAGGCGTCGTGGTGATGTCGGCGGCCAGGATTGTTCACCCGACGCTGGGGGGGAACGAAGCCTTCTCGAGCTCAGCCCCAAAAATCTGGAACACCCCGGCCTGCCTTCCTGCTCCCGGACATCCAAAACGCGACGCACGTCGCTCCAAATTCCGTATGTCCGTGCAAGACGCACCCAAACTCAAGACCTCGCCCTGCCAGCGCTTCTAAAATTTAAAATGAAAACTCTCCATTGACCTTTTCATTCACTTTACTTATAATACCGCTTATCGTTCGGAGGCTACTCGTTGCGCACGGTTTTTCACTTCATTTCGGTGCGCGGTTGCAATGGACTCTGCTCAGTCGGCGTTCGCCACTGTGGTCGTGACGGGTCTCTTTCGCCATTCCTGGCTGCTCTGTGCCCCCTGTACCGGTCCCGTTCCGCTGTGATGTGCACCGATGCCTACTTTACTGGGGGCGATATTGGCATGTATTAAATAAAGATAGAGAGACTTAGTGGTGAGCGGCGGTTGTTGCTGGTGTGAAGGCGATTACGGTGGTTGGCGATGGTGGTTATCCATAAGAGGTTTTTAGGGGTTAGATCACGTAAATAACGCGATCTAACCCCAAAAAAACCTCTTATGGATGATATTGGTCAGTTATATGGCCAGTGAGCGAGTAGCGACATTCGCCACTGCTATTGGCTGTGAGCTGGAATCGAACTCGGGTCGTCAGGTTCGTAGCTCAGCGCGCTAACCGCTGCGCCGCCACTTCCCACATTACAGTGGCCACCATCGCCACCATTGCCTCCACCGTCGCCACCATCACCACTACCATCACCATCACCGCCACCATCACCCCCATCAACACTGCCACCGCCACCACCACCGCCACCGCCACCGCCGCACCTTTCTGTTCTGCGCCACTCCGTCCTCGCAGTCCATGACGGCGCAGTCGGCGCCGAGCGTTGGCAGCTTGCGCAGCTTCCTCTCGTCGTCTCCCGGCACGTACAGCACCGCCCGGCGAGGCACGTTCCGCCCGTCCCCGTGCACCAGGCGCCGGGTGGGGGGAGCCTGGGCCCCCGCCCTGACCAGCAGCCCCCCACTCGGCCTGCGCCCGCGACGTCACACGCCAAAGGTTACCCCGCGTGGCTGTTAACGGGCCGCGGGGGCAAGTGATATTGGCGAGCAGCAGGGCCTACATAACAGGTGACGCTTTTGGAAATGGCTCTGCGACACGTGCTGTGAAGGAGGGCCATTGTTCGAAACGTCACCTATTGCATATTTTTCCTTTTCAGGCCACAAGCACGCACGCAGACAGTGGCGTTGTATGAATGTCGGACATCTTTCGCTACGTAGCCAACCATGGTTATTCGGAGGTGCGGGGGAAGGATAATGAACAAAATACACTAAAGGAGTAAAAAATAAATTAGTTTTGAATGTAGATGATTTAAAAATGCATAGCTACCAGTGGCTTCCTAATATCGGAAGGAAAAGGATTCTAGATGGCCGCAGATGCGCATCTGAAAGCACACGATGCGGTGACCCACTGTCTTTGTCGATGGCTAGTGTTCTGATGACGTACGTCATCAGTTTTCCTTCCGATTCTGTTCCGATCACGTAAGTGTACATCATCGGAGTGGAATCGGACGTAAAAGGCCATGTGGCAGGTGGATTGCTTCACATGTCTGGCAAATCGCCCGATGATGCTGGATGTAATTAGCAGCAAAACGTCGTAGTGAAATTGTAAATAATGTTGATTTGCTCTCCAACACACCAGTGGGCTGAAGTAGTGACTAATTGGCACGTTGTTTCCGTGACAAACCTTACTGGCTGTGTCAGGTGGTGGACGGTTACGACTCATTTATACTTACACAATCTAACCCAAAAACCTTTATTATGAATAATATTGGTCGCTAAAGCCTACGCGTTAAACCGTGTGGAATAGTTTGGCACCAGCTATCATAGAGTGCGTAGCCTTATATTAGAGTGCGGTCGTGATGCTAAAGTTCTCTGCGGCGAGTAACAATGTCTTTAAAAATAACGGCGCCACGTCTCTCTAAATAAAACTAACCCCGAGCCGCTTGCGCCTTCCGAGATACAGCGGTGAACAGGACACCGACCCTGCAACTTGCAGACGTCTCGGAATGGGAAAGAGTTTAATGACACTGAACGTGCAGAGTTGGATTGTTGATGTGGACGTGATACGAACTGCAATGCCCAAATATGTCCAGCAGATGGCACACCCCATTGCGGTTACCATTAAGCCAATGTTGTTTTTTTAAATCCGTGTCAGTTATCACAGGTTGTATATAGATCACATTCAATACCACACGTCTCTGGTCTCTCCCGATCTGAAATAGCCCTTAATCACGTAAACGTTGCAACTGACTGGACGTCAAAACAATGAGGGTCACCACCTGTCTGGGCTTTGACCCAGACAGTCCGGGGAATGGGCATCTGTGTACGGGTAGTTGATTGGTTCAGAGATCTGGTCCCGGCGTGGTGTTGAAGCTTGTCGAAGTGAAGTGCAATAACGTTGCGCAGTTTTCAAGGATTTTCTTTTTCCAGGATAGTATCCTTCCAATCTGTTTCTTCTTTCGTATTGGCTGACGTAGATGCAGAGCAACAACTACAATTTCACATTCAGGTGGCCAAGCCGGACAGCTGCATCAGGAGCAGCGGAGTATATCGTCACTGTTATGTCTCCTTCCTATTTGTGGATCGGCCATCTCGTCGTTATACGTTGTACGGTCTTGTTCGAGATGACCAGTCGCACACTGGAGAGTTTTTCATTTTCCACTTGTGCATCAGGTATCAACATCTGCCATGGTTTGAGCGGATGCGGTTTTGGGTGAACCATGAGCTTCTTCGAAGATCGTACCCAGGGTTGTAGTTCAGAGATAAAAAGCTTGTCCGGCCTTCTCGATAAGGAAGAAGTATTCAGTAAATACCACATTGCTGTTGGGCGTACTCGAGCGAATTAACTTTTTTTTATCCATGCTGGTCGTGGTACGTTCAGTTTTTATTTTACGTATGAAACTATTTCACCTGGACAATTCCTTGCAGGTGCAACAACTCGTTTGCAAGGGGTTTCCCAGGGTGTCAACTGACGCCCACATAGCAAACGCGTACTGGCACATGTCGCGACGGGAACTGCAAGATCTGACTGTCCGTCCAGTGCTCGCCGAGCTGCATTGGCGTCCGGTTGCCCAACGGATACGTCACAAGGTCGCGCTCATTACACACAAAGTACTGGCCACAAATGAACCACAATACCTTGCCGATCTTGTCGAGGAGCGTAAAGCATCACGCAAACTCCAGTCATCCTCGCCACGGCGGCTTTTGGCTAAGCCATCGGACAAAGACGGTGGTCACTGCATCGCGCGGGACTTTTGAATGCGCTTCTGCGGCCGTCTGGAACGCTCTACCCTCCGATATTAGGAAGACACGTACATGCATGTATGTTGAGCTTCTTTCGCACCGTACGTAGCCAACCGTGCTAATCGGAGGTGCGGGGGAAGAGCAGCAAGCCAAACACAAGCAGTCCACCTGGCTCGCTTTACTATTCTGGCCGATGACGCTGGATGTAATTACCAGCGCAACGTCAAAGTACTCAAATTGTGAATGTTTTGGATTCACCCTCCAACACACCGGTGGGCTGAAGCAGTCACTTACTGAGCACGGTTTATTTACGCGACAAACCTTACCGACCGTGTCGGGCTGTGGAGGATTACGGCACACTTCTAATTACGCGATCTAACCACCCCCCCCCCCCCAAAAAAAAAAAACACCTTTACTATGAATAACATTGGTCGCGAAAGCCCTACGTGTCCACAAACCGAAACGAACGCAGTTAACGTGTTCAATGTTTCCACCGTCGCTTCGAAAGATCGACTTGGACGGACGACCTCTGCATCGCAGATCCGCAGTGCGCTCATCACAACCCACGCTCGCGTCCCACCCAAAGTGAGGATTGCACAAACGGTTTAAGTGCATCGGTGCTTTAGGTACAACATGTTATACGACGCATTGTGCGCCACGTGCCATGCCCGAGTGTTTATGGAATGCAAAACGCCGGCGTTCTTTGAAAATCCCATCGCATATTTGGGGCTGCGACGCCCCTCGCCAACGCCGCCCGGAAATCCACGACCTCTGCCGGTACCCGACCTAGGCAAGAGCGGAGGCTACGCGGCCTAAACGCAACAAAATACATTTTGCGGCAGGCGAACGGAGCCGCGAGCGCGGCCGTTTGACAGCGAGCGATTTCAAACGTTGCCATTCGCAAACGAGTGCGAACTGAGGCGTTTTACGAGGCGACTCGATCGCGAATACCTCCAGCGAAGCCACGGCCAAAGACGACAACAGGGGGCCGCCATCTTTGCACTCCCTTCGTCGGCGCGCAACGTCGCTCGATCCTGTTGGTCGAATACCATCAACGCGCTCGACCAATCGGAGCGCGCGTTGCTTGGCACGTCGACGGTTAAATTTCGATTTAAAGCTTTCGTGACTGCAAGGATTAATCTTCTTTGGTTCTTTCGGTAAAGTCACGTAGAATGAGAATGAAATAATAAATTGATAAAATAACACAATAATATTCTCACGACGTTTCGGCCACAACACAAGCGGCCTTCATCAGGTGAAGGGGACGAGACTGTCTGGTAGGCCAGCGCTGGAGTGAAAAAGCCAAGCTCAGATCACGACCTTTAAGCTGTGTGAGAAGAAACCAAGCGCCTTGACAAAGGAATTAGCATATAATTTAGCATTGAAATGGCTGAGTGATTAGCTTAGTAACCATTGGAAAGATGTTTTAAACCATTTCCGTTCTTAATAAGTTGTATTTTACGATGACCTTCAGACCGCAGCTCTTTCGCCAGCATTGACTCTTAATACCTCTCACACCACGGTTAATGGTATGGTTTACAACATGGAGTATAATAGCGCCTCGCAGCTGTCTCTCTCCCCCTCCTCTGTTCCGACCATGGATTAACTCGTCCGTCTGAACGGGGCCCGTAGCTATCCGTGGTGCTAAAGTTGAGGGTAAGAATCCACCCATTTTTTTGCCATATAGCATTGGGATATATAACGACTGATTGTTGGCAGCTTAGCTGATTGCAGAATATAGAGTTTATTGATAACATTAAGGTAATTTCTATTTTAGTTTTTTATTGGTTCACTATATAGTATTCATTATATATTGTATTGTATACCCAGTTACTGTGAATAGCTCAGATGTGTAGGCCTTGACTTCAACATAGCCATTTCTGTGACCAGTCACTAGCTAATCACTCAGTTATTTCAATGCTAAATTCTCCTGTTAGATTTGTACTAGGTGCCTCGGTGAATGTGTATGCTCTGACTTTAACATAGCTATTTCTGTGACCAGTTACAAGCTAATCACTCAGCTATTTCAATGCTAAATTCTATGCTAATTCCTTTGTCAAGGGGCACCTCTGCGGATGTGTATACTTTAACTTAGCTATTTCAATGAACCATTTCAATGCTAAATTATATGCTAATTCCTTTGTCAAGGCGCTTTGTTTCCTCTCACACAGCTTAAAGGTCGTGGTCTGAGCTTGGCTTTTTCACTCCAGCGCTGTCCTACCAGACAGTCTCGTCTCTTCACCTGATGAAGGCCGCTTGTGTTGTGGCCGAAACGTCGTGAGAATATTATTGTGTTATTTTATTTTATCAATTTATTATTTTATTATCATTCTACACGGTGACTTTGCCGAAAGAACCAAAGAAGACGTCGACGGTTGTTATGGAGACGGGGGGGGGGGTGTGGCGGTTGAGGCGGGGCGTTGTGGGAGGGGGTGGTGGGAGTGACGTCACAGGGTGGGCGAGGTCCCGCGGGGAGCGGTGGCGCAGCGGTTAGGGCGCTGCGCAGCGAACCCGGCCACCCGAGTCCACGAGAGGAATCCGATGAGCTATAAAGCTGTTTTTTCGTTCACGGATGTCCAGTAGGGGCACGCGGGCCAGAACGTTACAACGACAAACAAGACAAAAGCACGATAGGAGTGCAAAGTCAAATAAATCACTTAAAAAATATCGACGTTGTATACAAATAAAGCTAAACTATCCATAATACAGGTTTTTTCCCCCTCCCCTCCTGTATTATGGATAGTTGAGATAGATTATGGATAGGTAAAACTAAAATCATTTAACCTGACGATTCCCGCTCACGGCCACGGCCCAACACCACAGTGACAATTATCTGAACCGGTCCTGAGCCTCCCCTAGGTCGACTCAGCCTCAAATGAGTACCCGAAGCGTTGTGTGGTAAAACATCGCCACTGGGGGGGGGGGGGGGGGGGGAGACAAAGGCGGCCGGGCGTGGTGCTGGCCACCCACCTCCAGCCCCGCCTTGCCCTACGACATCGTGTAAGGGATCTGCGAGCCACCCTTCACGCGCGCAGTATAACACGCGCACATCACAACGCACGGGGATACACTCCATGGGGAACGAGGGCGGAGATGGATGATTTAAAAGGCGCTGCGAGACGCGTGTTCGGGGGTCGGTTTTGGAACGAGTGCTGCTGTGGGTTGAAGAATAAAGAAGTTTTGATTTAAAGCTTTCGTGACTGCAGTAATTCATATTCTTAGTTTTTTCGGTAAAGTCACTCAAAACAAAATCACTCAAAACCGTTTGAGTTATGGTCGAAACGTCGTGAGAATTTTTTATTGTTTTATATATATTTTATTATTTTGTTGTTTCTCTTCAACGTGACTTTACCGAAAAAACTAAGAATATGAATAAAGAAGTGTTAATAAAGAAGCGCTGTCCTCCAGACAGTCTCGTCCCCTTCACCCGATGAAAAGGCCGCTTGTGTTGTGGCCGAAACGTCGTGAGAATATTATTGTGTTATTTTACTTGATCAATTTATTATTTTATTCTCATTCTACGTGGTGGTGACTTTACCGAAAGAACCAAAGAAGATGAATCCTTGCAGTCACGAAAGCTTTAAATCGAAATTTAAGTGTTATAGATTTGAAGCTTTCGTGACTGCAAGGATCCCATGCTCTTCGGGTTTTTTGCGGTAAAGTCACGTGGGTAAAAAAAATGACATTTTTAAATAAAATAACAAAAATGAAAACAACTAAATTGAATCGCGACGTTTCGGAGGCAACACAAGCTTCCTTCGTCAGGTGTAAAAAGGACGGCTTGTGTTGCCTCCGAAACGTTGTGATTTAATTTAGTTGTTTTAAAAAAATTTTAATTAAAATGTTGTATTAATTTTTTGTACCCACGTGACTTCACCGAAAGAACCCAAAGTGTATGGGATCCTTGCAGTCACGAAAACTTCAAATCTAGGAGTGCTTTACCAGTCTCCAATTGTGTAAAGCCGAGGAGTTTCCCCTCGTCGAAATGTTCAGCAAACCCTGCGAACTCGTCCTTCGGGGTCAGAGGTCGGATTGACGTTAATTTGGTGATCGGTGTGGCGATGCAGGCGCTGCAGGTTACTTTCTGTTATCACGTTCTTCTTTGGCATTGTGAAAATCAACAGTTTTTTTATTTTTTCTTAACTGAGGCAGTTTCCATTTCCTCAACAACTCGCGGAAATGGAAACGGTTACGACACCGTCACCACCATCATTGCCTCCGCTAGCATGACCACAAGCTGCCCTAGCGAGATGTTAACTACTTCGCCTGGTATACAGGAGGTCGTGGGTTCGATCAACCAAGTCTCACTTCTGTATATTTGGAGTTTGCGTGTCTCTCTCCCTCCCTCCCCGTGATCGCGTGGATTTTACTCCGGGTCCTCCGGTTTTTCCCTTCCACGTTTAAAAGAAACGTGCGTCTTGAGTCTTTTACTGCTATACTCTTTGGTGAAGGCCGCTTGTGTTGTGGCCGAAACGTCGTGATTTTTGTTATTTTATTTTTTTACCTACATGACTTTACCGAATAGAAACAAAGAGTATACTCTTTGGTTCTTTCGGTAAAGTCACGTTTAATAATAATGAAAATAATAAAATGAAAATAACTAAATTGAATCACGACGTTTCGGGTGCAACACAAGCGTCCGTCATCACGTGGGAAAGCGTGGTCTGCTGCTGATGCAGACTGTTTAAAAAAGGTTTGAAATGGGTGTAGCCCAAGGGTCATAAAGAAGTGGCTGGGTCTAGTGAGATTAGCATGATGTTAACGTGAGAGATTAGCACGATGTTAAAGTGAGAAATTCGCATGAAACTGGGTACGGGAGTAGCTGTGTTAATGTGAGAGATTAGCATGATGTTAATGTGAGAAACTGGCATGTAACTGGGCAGGGAAGTAGATATGATATGAGATATTAGCATGATGTTAATGTGAGAAATTAGCATGATGTTAAAGTGAGAAATTAGCATGTAACTGGGCACGGAAGTAGTTATGTTAATGTGAGAGATCAGCATGAAATAACAGCTGACATAGGCAGGTAGGATGGAAACATTAGAGTCAGTGAAGACTTTACCTTATGAGACCTCCTTTGCCAGTAACAAGATATAGTAATAGGTTTTACCCTTTTAACTGGCACAAAAAACTGACACCTTTATTCAAGGCATCATGTTTGCAATAACCACAACACAAGCAGTCAAAATGCAAACAAAAGAGACAACTCTGATAATAATATTGGCACTGTCCTTGAATTTGATTGGTCCACACCCGAGACGGCTTTCTACTAGGCTCTAAAGAAAGCCGTCTCTGGTGTGGACCAATCAAATTCAAGGACAGTGCCAATATTTTTATCAGAGTTGTCTTTTTATTTGCATTTTGACTGCTTGTGTTGCAGTTATTGCAGACATGATGCCTTGAATAAAGGTGTCAGTGTTTTGTGCCAGTTAAAAGGGTAAAACCTATTACTATAAGACTTTACCTGGTTAATAACGTCCTGCTATAAATGTCCACATGCTAAGCCACTTCGGTGAGCTATTCCATTTCGTGGCCGGGTCGCTTCTGAAAAGGAGCTCGAGGACTTGGTGGGCCTAACCCGGTAAAATACAAAGAACAAAAATGTTGATCTCCATATATATAAAAAGGCAAAGTTGTGAATGTGTGTGTCCGTTCAAAATGTTTAGCGTACTTCCCGACATGGAACAAACGTGAAATTTGCCATGTGGGTACTTTCCAGACTGTACACCATGCAACAATTATAAAAATACACTTTTTTTTGGTGGGGGGGGGGGGGTGGAGCTCAATAATGCATTTATTTTTTTGCACGGCAAGTGAGCTGTGACGTCAAATCTGTCACGTGACCCACGCACGTGGAAGCGTAACGCATTGTAGTGTAGCGGTTAGCGCGCTGTCTGTGTGTGTCTGTGTCTGTCTGTGTCTGTGTGTGTGTCTGTGTGTGCGTCTGTCTGTGTCTGTGTGTCTGTCTGTGTGTATGTGTCTGTCTGTGTGTGTGTGGAAGTGTAACGCATTGTAGTGTAGCGGTTAGCGTGCT